AGCGTTGTGGATCGAGTCCTCCGTTGCATCCGAGTCCTGACCGAACTGATCTGGATCTTAAGCTCGAGCTGCCTGAGCACATAGTCCACGCAGTAGCTGCAGCAGAGCTAATTGACAAGGAAAAATGCCAGGAAGACGCGCCGCGGAACGTTCCAAGGGACGCGCCAGGCGACGTGCCAGGGGACGTGCCACGGGGACGCACCGCGAGACGTGCCAAGGGGACGCGCTACAGAACGTGCTGGGGACAAGCGTCTTGTTGGTGGCCTGGACACGTAAAAACACGGTGCCAGCTCGGGACAACCATGAGAGATACCCCCTGGGTGGCCTGGGCACGTAAAACACGTGGTTCCAGCTCGGGACAATCATGTTAGAGATCTCCCTGGGTGGCCTGAGCATGAAAAAACACGTGGTTCCAGCTCGGGACAGCCATGTTGGATACCCCTCTGCGTGATTTGGATACGCTGAATTCGCGCTCCCGCTCGAGACATCCTCACAACGTCTTCCCTGGAGAGGCCCCCAAAGCGCACCCCCCTGTTCAGAGCAAGAAGCCATCACTTTTCCTCATAATTCGGCGTTGGGCCCGACGCCATGTTAGATACCCCAACTCTGCAAAACCAGCGTTTCGCTCGAGACATCCTCAACAAATTCTGAAAAGCAAGCGTTTCGCTCGAGGCATCCCCCAACTCTGCAAAACCAGCGTTTCGCTCGAGACATCCTCAACAAATTATGAAAAACAAGCGTTTCGCTCGAGACATCCTGTCAAAATCCCAAGAAATATAAATTCCTGCGCGCGGGGCGCGGCACGCGCGAGACATCCTCAGAATTCCTTGGGGCGCTTTTCCGTGTCGCGGTCGGCTCTGCAAAACTAGCGTTTCGCTCGAGACATCCTCAACAAATTCTGAAACCAAGCGTTTCGCTCGAGACATCCCCAACTCTGCAAAACCAGCGTTTCGCTCGAGACATCCTCAACAAATTCTGAAACACAAGCGTTTCGCTCGAGACATCCTCAAATTTTAATTCGCCGGCCCTACGCGACCTCGTTATTTATCGCAAAAGAAATTCGCCGGCCCTACAGCCGTCAAAACCGGAGGGAAACAAACTAAAAGAGAACCGTGGGCCTGCGCCCTTTCCGGGAAAAAAACTGCTCCAGGATCGGAACCGGAGCCGGAACCGGTCAAAAAACGGCGACGGAACCGGTAAAAACGGCGTCGGACCCGGCAAACATGATCGACCCACGAACCCGGAAAGGAATGTAGAACTGTAACACATGGCAGCGTTTTCAAAGACACCTGATTGGGTGACGGGCAAATGCAATACTGAAGGTATCGATCTTGATGTACCCTGCCGAGGGCTGTGCTGTGCTGCGCCGTGCTGAATTGCGATGTGCCATGGCGCGACTGTGCTCTATAGCCTCGTGGATCGAGTCCTCCTTTGCATCCGAGTCCTGACCGAACTGATCTGGATCTTAAGCTCGAGCTGCCTGAACACATAGTAGCTGCCCCAGAGCTAATGGACAGGGGACATGCCAGGAGGACGCGCCGCGAAACGTCCCAAGGGATGCGCCAGGCGACGTGCCAGGGGACGTGCCATGGGGTCGCACCGCGGGACGTGCCAAGGGGACGCGCTACGGAACGTGCCAATGGATGTGCCACGGGATGTGCCAGGGGACGCGCGACGCGACGTGCCAGGGGGACTCGCCAAAGGACGCCCCACGGAACGTGCCAAGGAACGTGCCAAGTTGCAATGCTGAGTGCATCGACCTTGATGTACCGTGCCGAAATCAGTGCTGTGCTGCGCCGTGCTGAATTGCGATGTGCCATGGCGCGATTGTGCTCTATAGCCTCGTGGATCGAGTCCTCCTTTGCATCCGAGTCCTGACCGAACTGATCTGGATCTTAAGCTCGAGCTGCCTGAACACATAGTAGCTGCCCCAGAGCTAATGGACAGGGGAACATGCCAGGAGGACGCGACGCAGAACGTCTCAAGGGACGCGCCAAGCGACGTGCCAAGGGACGTGCCATGGGGACGCATCGCGGGACCTGCCAAGGGGACGCGCTACGGAACGTGCTGGGGACAAGCGTTTCGCTCGAGACATCCTGTCAAAATCATCTGAATTCCTACGCGCGGGACGCTGCACGCGCGAGACATCCTCGGAATTCCTGCGAGCGGGACGTGAAAACAAGCATTTCGCCTGAGACATCCTTTGAATTCTGGCCCCCCACGAGGCCACCGCTCGAGACATCCTCCAATTTTGCAAAACCAGCGTTTCGCTCGAGACATCCTCAACAAATTATGAAAAACAAGCGTTTCGCTCGAGACATCCTGTCAAAATCCCAAGAAATCCAAATACCCGCGCGCGGGACGCGGCACGCGCGAGACATCCTTGGAATTCCTGCGCGAGGGGCGCTTTTCCGTGTCGCGGTCGGCTCTGCAAAACCAGCGTGTCGCTCGAGACATCCTCAACAAATTCTGAAACCAAGCGTTTCGCTCGAGACATCCCCAACTCTGCAAAACCAGCGTCTCGCTCGAGACATCCTCAACAAATTCTGAAAAACAAGCGTTTCGCTCGAGACATCCTCAAAAATAATTTCGCCGGCCCTACTCCGTGCGTGCCCGCTCGCAAAATAATTTCGCCGGCCCAAGTCGCAGGGGGGCCGGGGGGTTAACCTACTAAAAGAGAACCCTGGGCCCGCGCCCTTTCCGGGAAAAAACGGCAAAACGGAACCGGTAAATAATCGGCCCTGTCGTTTCCAGGGCCTACTAAGCATAGGTCTGGTCGCTCTACTTGGCGGCGCGCAGAGGGGGGTAGGGGGAGGGGAGAAGGCTTCTTCGACGGAGGCGGCTCCGTAGAGGGCGTGGGCCATACACCGACAGAGAGGGCCCGCGCCCTCTGGGAGGCAGGGGCGCCTCTGAGAAGCCCTCCCCCCTCCCCCCATACCCCCCTCTGTGCCTGGCTGATCTACAGGGGGGCTCTCCGAGGAGCGGGTCGCGGGGACGCCCTCCTCACCGTCCCGCACTGCTCGGCCTCCTCTCCCGTCGCCTCCTCCCGCCGCCCCCCTCCCCACACTGCACGCCCGCCCAGGCTCTTCTTCTCCCTCGCGCCCCTCCGGCGCGACGGCGTCAGCTGCGGAGAGGCGAGAGAAGGAGAGAGTGAGAGGGAGAGGGAGAAAGAGAAAAACAGAGAAAGAGAGAGAGAGAGAGAGCACTGTATATACAATAGAGAGAAAGAGAGAGAAATACATATAATAGAGGAACAAACAAAACAGAAAGAGAGAAAGAGAGAAAGAGAGAAAGAGAGAAAAAGAGAAAGAGAGGCCTCGGATGGCCACAGAGCGCGCACAGTTTGCAAACACGCAATCAAGCCTCGAAGTTCGAGCCTCGAAATTCGAAGCGCACACTCTTGGTGGAGGAGGGGCGTTCGGTCTTGAACGCCCGCGATGCGGCCGCGATTCCCGCTCCTGTGTGATTCAAACCGTCGCAGGTGCCTAATCCGGAACCGCTGAGCGTAAACATGCCGTCATCTCTTGGGGGAGCTGGTTCTGCTTCCGCCGCCGTCCGCCGGCAGAAGCGCCCTCGTTGTATTTCCGCCGGCCTTCTTGCGCCAGCATCTGCCGAGGAAGAGATGTCAACTCCTTCGAGCCCTCAACGGCCAAGCCCTTGCTGGAACGCACGATGTATCGTTCCAGGCAGCGAAGTTCCTCTGCTGTCACATGACCGACGATCAAAAACAGGTATTACGCGAGATGGCGTAGCGACCTTACGGCGTAAGACACGATGTCGGCGAAGACGATCCCTTCTTTTGCTAGAAAGCAACAAATCCACCCCCATGATAACCACACCGACACGCGAAGCTGTTTACTAAACGCCCCCCCTGAAGGAATTGAACAGGGCAGGGCTGCTTCGTAAACGCCCAGGGCCGCTTAATAAACGCCACTTGTCCGGTCTGGGTGTTTGTTCCTCCTTTGTTTTGCGTCGCTCCCATGCACATCGCGCGTTTGGGCGTCTCTCGTGAAGGGGCCCCAGGACACACAAATAAATACACACAAATAAACATATTCTCCATCTTTTCCAATATTTTCAGGGTTTCTGTCTTCCCCCCCACTTCCCATATTTTCCAATATTTTCGGAGGGATCGAGGACTAATTGTGTCTGTGTGTTTCTTTTCCTCCTGATCTCGGCCGCCTGCAGCGAGTGACCCTGTGCAGCAGAGCGACCTTTCTTTTTGCGCGCGGCTCGCCGATCGCTGCATGCGCTGCGCCAGAAAAGAGCGGCCTGCGTGCTTGGGCTTGGGCTTCGACCCGCGGCTTGGTGTTTGTCTATGCCTGACCGTCTTTTAAACACATGTTTTTTTACTGTTAGCTTGCATCCTAGTTTCCTAGATTTTGTTTTTTTTGTTGTTTGATTGTTTTGCTTGTTCTGCTTTTTTGTTTTTTGCTTGTTCTGCACCACCCGGCGCCCACGGACTCACAAGAGCTCGAGCTCGTAAAAGGCTTCCCGCGCCCCCCGGAGGCCACGCACCCACCCAAGAGCAGCCTGGCGAAGGGCCCCTCGTGCGAGCACTTCCAGCCGAGCCGCCCCGAAGGATCGGGTCGGGCGAAAGGGGGGGATAGCAAAGGGGGGGGGTGAGAATCAGCCCCCGTATAGCTGATTTTCCCGGCGCCTCCCGGCGCCGGGGGCGGCTATATGTATCAAGGACCGGGCCCCTCGAGGAAGCCGAAACCGGCTGCATGCAGCAGATTTCGTACCCCCCCTTTCCCAATCCCCCCCTTTCGCCCCCCCCTTTCGCCCGGCCCGAAAGTAGGGGGCAAACAAACCTACCTCGCTTTTGACCACCCTCGCTTCCAAGAGATACCAAGCGATGCCAAACTACGGCATGTACTGGTCAGGCCGCTTGACGAGGAGGCGTGTGGTATGACTTGGTTTTGCCTGGAAGCGAAAGCGGGGTAGGTAATTCACGCTCTGAGAAAGGAGGAGGAGGAGGCGCGACCCGGGGTGCGGGCTGCCAGGGCGCATCCGCGGACGCCCGCGTCAGCACGAGCTCGGCGCCCTGGCGCACGCCGTCGGGGACCTCCCGCGCCGGCGCCGCGGCCCGCCCGAGGGGGCCCCCGTCGACCCATCGACCCCCCGAGGTCCTGCTTCTTTTGAAGGGGCCCTGGGACACACAAATAGATACACACAAATCAAAGGATTCCCCATATTTTCCTATATTTTTTGGTTTTTGTCTTCCCCCCCATTTCCCCAGAGCTCCGAGGTCCTGCTTCTTTGAAGGGGCCCTGGGACACACAAAGAAATACACACAAACAAAAGGACTCCCCACATTTTCCTGTATTTTTTGGGGGTTTGTGTCGTCCCCCCCAGTTCCCATAGTTTCCCATCTTTTTTCCTGGGAGTCGACGATTCATTGTGTCTCTGTGCTTTTTCCCCTCCTGCTGTTTGCACTGCGTCGGACGCCCGAGGTCTCGACCTGCTCCCCGGGACCGGCTCGTCACCCCGAGTCGTTGTCCGACGGTCCCGAGGCAGGCCCTGACTCCGGATCCGCCCTACTTTGGGGAAATTCGTAAGTGGGGCTTGGAATTTCCGCCTTACTTTTCAAGCCCCGCTGATGCCAATTTCCGCCCTACTTTTCTGTTGCTGTTTCTGTAGATTTTCGCCCTATTTTATGTTGGGTGCAGCAATTTCCGCCCTACTTTTCCGGCCTCTTCTAGGTGGATTTCCGACGCAATTTTAAGTTGGAAAGAAAACAAGCCAAAGTAGGGCGGATCCGGAGTCAGGGGGGGCCCCAAGAGGCCCGAAGTAACGAAAGACCTCCCGTCGTGATCTGCTGTCCTTGCTCGAAGGGGCCTGCGGCTGAGGCCGCGCGCCGGGGGGCACGCGCCCCGCGCTGCCCGGCGCCCGACGCGCGCTCCTCGCTGCACTGCGGCACCACCCCGAGACCGCGCCGAGACTCTCGCGCCCCGAGCCGCAGCAGGCGAGCCGCGGCGGCCCCCATGGGACCCCGGCGCCGCACTCTCTGCTCGCGGACGTGCCCGCCGGGCCTCGGGCCCCGCGGCGGCGGCTCTCCGGGGCTCCCGGGGCACATCCATCGACTGGCAGGGCAGCCTGGGCCGGACCCGCGCGACCCGGTGGGCTCGGCCTCCCCGCCGGGGGGCACGCGGCGGACTCCGGAGACCCCGAGCCCCCACGTGGCTGCCAGCTCTGCGGGGGCAGCTGCTCGTCGGGGAGCTTCTGGCCCGGGTCGACCCAGACCCGGGTCAGCAGGAAACCGAGAACTGCAACGCAGGAAAACAAACCGCAGGGCATGGTCTTCGCGAACCCGGGGCAGCCAATAGGCGCGGCCGCCTCGCGGCCACGAGCGGCTCGCTAACCCGGGTCAGACAGAGGGGGTCTTCGCAGGATCCTGCAGGATCCGGTGCCCTGGCTGACCCCCGTCTGCACTGACCCCCGTCTCGAGGCTCCCGCGTTTGCTCCCGCCGGCTTCCGCCGGCGGAGGCGGCCCCGTTTTACTTCCGCCGCGGAAGAGATTGCAACTCTTTCGATCCTCGAGGACAGGGCCCGACGTCTTGGAGCGCCCCAGGGTGAAGCCCAGGGTCGCCCTGGAGGAGTCTGCACCCACGGGGAGCGGCGGCTGGGTCGGCCCGTTCTCATCACGTCGACCCCCAAAAGGAGGGCTCGACCCATTCCCCGGGACCGGCTGGCGCTTCATCCCGAGTCGTTCTTTGACGGCCCCGAGGCCCAGGAAGGGCCCCCCAGAGGCTGAAAATGGCGAAAGAGATAGCGTCGTGATTTTTGTATTACTCGAGAGTGTCTCGGGAAGCACACCAAGGACGACCGCACCGGGACTAGCCTATGTTGCATCCTCGGGGGACCTTGCCTGTCCCATCGCGGCCCTATCATGTCGGAGTCGTCGGATCCGTGTCGAATCCGCGTCGAATCCACGCCAAATCCGCGTCGAGTCCGCATCGAGCCCGCATCGGGCACGAGAAAATACACCAATTCTGGGGACAGATG